GGCGTATCGCAAGATACTGCAGGGCAATCTCTCTGCGGCGTTGTTATGGGGCAACTCAGGTACAGAGCGGTGGAGAGAAGGTGGCATCGTACAAGCTATTGAAGAAATAAACAGAACAAACAAATCAAGTGATACCCGATGTCCATGATCTGATGACGCAGGGATTTGGCTTCTTGTTGATGAGCGTTCAGGCATGCTGAATGTCTGTGAGGATATGCAATCCTGTCTGTTTACCGTGAAAAAACCCTGTGGGCTGTTGTTGTTGTTGTTGCAGGTGTGCTCACTCCTCCATCAGAGGTACAAAGACTTTGCGCCGAACCTGGTCCCTGCTCTCCTGAAAGTGTTTTTCCCTGGGAAGTCGGCAGGGACGGAGGGAGATGGAGGGGACCGCACTGCCAGGGTCCTGAAGAAGCGGACGACACTGCGTTTGCTTACCGAGCTTTACTTCATGGGGGTGTATGACGATGTATCAGTTCTGCTAAGTATTGTCAAAGATCTGACCAGTGCTGACAGCTTGAAGGACCGAGAGGTGGTTCAGGTCAACCTCTCTCTGCTGCTTAGCTTTGCACGACAAGCGAGAGGGTTGTTGAGTTTGCCTCCGAAGAAGGAAGTCGCTGATGAGGTGTGTGTCAGAGCTCTCCCATGACTTAAAGAGTCGGTCTCCCAGAGTCTCTTTTACAGCAGCGAATCCTTGGCGTGACTAACTGTGGGTGATTGGGGGGTTACTGAATGCTTGAGCAAAAATATGGTACGATCTTTTTCTCGCCCTTTCCGGAGTGAGTGAGTAGGTGCATGTACGGTGAATGAGTTATGCGTGTGGATTGGTACTGCTGCTTGTATACCTGCCAAGTAAGCCGTGTGGGACCGAATGGGTCAGAAGTGAATTGGCCGTGTTGGCGTGCATGTAGCTGAGAAACGAGTCTGCATTCATTCAGGGATTGCCACAAACACCGGCACCTGGTGAACGGTGAACCCTATCAAAGACATCATCAGAGTGGGGGAGTGGATGGCTCAGAGGCGAGTCTGCAGCGTGGGATTGAATGGTCCAGAGAGTCTCCAGACACGACGACAATCTGGGGGATTTAAATAGTTAATGAGTGGATGGACATGCCTCTTTTTGCCGAAGTGGAGCAGAACTGCATGCCAAGCTTTTTGCCGAAGCGTCAGAGTGACCTTTTTTCTTTTGTTTGGGCTGCCGTCGCCAGCCATTTTGGTCCGGTTGCGCCCGGCCTCCAAAGAATGTGGTGTTTAAACTGCCAGTGCACAGCCCCAGCATTGCAAGATTTCTTCATGACCTCCTAAGATTTCCGGAGGCTTGGGGCTACCGGACGACAATGGCTGGCGGTGTCAGCCGAGACAGAAAAAGAGTGTACCACTCGCGGTTCTGCAAAGCTTGGTGCGCCTTGCGTCGCCGCCAGGCCCTAGGGTACTGGTGGTTTAAGAGTTGTGTGTTGTTGGATACCCTGTCCATATTGCCAAAATAACATGAAGAAAACCTACGTACCTATGAAATTAGTATGAATGTCGATGTCCTTCTTCTGAATTGCGGTTGATGGTCTCCTCCTCTTTCCTTAATCTTGCATGCCTAATTTCAGTATTCCTTTCCTGCTCAAATCATACACTCTCTTTCAGGTTCTTCTCCTGCTGAGTGATTCCTTCTTCCGGTGCTTATTTCTTCCGCTATGCGGTTGCAGGTGGACTTCAGCATTACAGCTGAATAGAAGTGGTCTTTTCAATGCGGATGCTTCATCGGCACTCCGACTCGGTCCACACTGTCTTCCTCCCTTTCTGTGACTGATTTCTCCTGCTGGCACTTATTTCTTCTTCTGTGCAGCTACCGGAGGACTTGAGCATCACCGCTGAACAAAAGAGGTCTTTTCGACGCATGCTTGACCAGTACTTCGACTCGGTGAACAATGTACTTCATGCTGAGCATCTGGTGAGTGGGTGCAAGAAGACGAGCATTTCTTGGTGTCACCGCACTGTTGCAGTCATTTCTCTGCTGTTGCGTGTTTCTGTCCAAACCTTTTCATGTTTGCTATCTTGTTTGCTCTATTTTTTTATCAGCCCGCGGTAGACGGGTCGTTGCTTGCCAATCTCTTTGATGGTTGACGGCTACAATGTGTCCTTATCAGCCACTGATTTGAATTGGACCGTGAACACAGTTGCAAACATATGCTTGCCTCTACCAGGCCATCGGAAACAAAGGGTTTGTCGTCGCATTTTACTCCAGGCTTGATCAGTACGCCTTCAGTTTTCAGAGCAACCACACTGTTTCCCGCCCATTTTGTGCACATGTTGTCATATGTCCCCCTGGCCCTCCCCCCCCTGCTCTCCCCCCCCCGCATTTTGTTAACCATTTTGGCATGTCTCTGCTGGGGAACACCTCTCTGTGGCAGGCTCTAAAGGAGCAAGAACAGGAGAATGAGCGTATGCTGAATGCTAGAGGAGAGCTGACGGAAGAGAATTCAACTGCCTATGAGAAATTAAGAAAGTCGTACGAGCAGCTTTTGCGGAATGTTACATCGTAAGTAACCTCAACTGTCAAGCAGAGATCCTTGCCGTGCTGAGATGTTGGTGTGTGCCTGCACTTGTTGTTGAGAGTGGTGAGGGTGCATGCTTAAGTGAATGAAACAGAAATTGAAAGTCACATTGACTGTGGAGTCGATCCTTACCACGCTGGGGTGTTGGTGCCCGCGTGCACTTGTTGTTGTGTGTGGTGAGGGTGCATGCTTAAGTGAATGAAATGGAAAACCTAAACTAGGTAACGAGGAAAGCTTCCGAGGAACTTACCCTCAGGAACTTGGAAGGTCACCACGAGTAAGTTACCCTCAGGAACTTGAAGGTCGCTGGGCGGAAATTTATCATAACTAAAAACAATGAGCTGTGAAG